TTTTAAGATTATTTGAATTTAATAAAACTTGTTGCGAGTGCTTAGTATAAATTAGCTTATATTAAATTTCAGTTTCCTCGAATTTTCGTTAGGTACTCAGTGGTGTAAAATTTGAATATATTATTTCAATATTTATCGCAATTTTTAAGTTTAAAAAGTTCTATTATAATTCTTATCACTTGTTGATTTCAAAAGTGACTTAATAATCTTATTCTTAAATAATGATAGAAAAATGAACTTTTATATTTTTTGACCAATTCCTCAGTGCTCAATAAAATATTAAAAATCTGTAGATTAAAATAACTTGAAATGTAAACTCAGAATGTTTTTATTTCAGTTTGATCCGAAGAATAACCTCTCCGTTGAAATAACCTCTTAAATTTTATGCTTCTTAGAAAATGTTTCTAAAAAATTTAATTCATTTTTAATTCATTAATTCTTAATTTATTAATTCTTAATTCATTAATTCTTAATTCATTAACTCTTAATTTATTAATTCCTAATTCATTAATTCTTATTTTATTAATTCTTAATTTATTAATTCTTAATTCATTAATTCTTAATTTATTAATTCTTAATTGATTAATTCTTAATTGATTAATTCTTAATTTGTTAATTCTTAATTTATTAATAATTCATTAATTCTTAATTTATTAATTCTTAATTTATTAATTCTCAATTTATTAATTCTTAATTTATTAATTCTTAATTTATTAATTCTTAATTTATTAATTCTTAATTCAAATTTTTTTTGTTTCTCAACGAAAACAATGAAACAACAAAATCATGAATGAAAGTACAATTTCTAGAAAAAATGAAAACAATCTTTCACCCATTCAGGGAATCCTTTTAATTCTTTTAAAAAAAGTCGTATTTTTAAAATTCGGCTTCTCAGGAACTATACCATTTATTTAGCTCAAATTTTCTATTTTGTCTTATAAAATTAAACTATTTAAAATAATTTAAAAAATTGTATACCTGACATACGAGGGTTGTAAATTAAATAGTGGCAACTTAACCTTGAAACTCACAAAAGGGCGAGCATGCGTAAATAGGGAATGGGTGCGGTGAGGTGGGGCTGTTGTCGATGTGTAGAGTGCAAAAAACAGTCGATTTGCTTAGAAGGGTAGTTGTTGCGTGGCGTTAAAGTGGGAAGTTTCGTTTCCATCGCTCTAAAGCATGTTGTGAGAAGGCTTAATGACGAAAAAAGACGAGATGCTTGAATCCATCGTGCTACTGTCCTATATGGTAAAACATTTGTTCCAAAGGCTTCCACTAATCCTCGATAGCATTCTGTTGCATTTTTGCCACGGGCAACCTCGATTGTAAGCCACGACCGCTGATCACCTTTTGAAAACATGCTTTAGAGCGATGGAAACGAAACTCCTCACTTTAACGCCACACAACAACTACCCTTCTAAGCTAATCGACTATTTTTTGCACTCTACACATCGACAACAGCCCCACCTCACAGCTCCCATATCTATTTTGCGCATGCCCGTCCTTCTGTGAGTTTAAAGGTTAAGTTGCCACTATTTAATTTACAACCCTCGTATAATTTTTTTCCCGATGATTTGCAAATAAAATAATAAATATAATAAACATTTACAAAAAAGCATTTTTTGAATAAGTTTTCGTAGTTTGGGTAGTTTTGTATAAAAATATGTTTACTTTGTGAAAAAATATGTTTAAAATTTGCCTAAAAAACTTTCGAGATATCTGAAAGGCACAATAAGTAAAAATAAAATTATATTGCTTAGATTACTTGAATAAAATTTTGTTTTATTTTATCGACAGCTTGAATTGTACACATAAATTACTTTTTAGCCCTATACTTTGTTTGCGTATTAAAATCGACTCGATTGGCGAGTGATGAAATAGTTTCGGGATTTATTAGTTTTGACTCGCTAATTAATTAGATTCTTAATTTTTGAATAAACCATTTTATATTCATATTTTTGTCTATCTCAATATTTAATAAGCAAAAATTTCCCTTTTGCGAGGTATTGGCTCATAATTATTTCTTAAAACAGTTACTTTACTCTAGAAAGGAAATTAAATTGAAGAATTTCGGTATATTTCAGCTGAATTAGCATTTAAATGTAATTTGTTTCATCCCATTTGTTTTAATAGCTAATTGAAATATGCTTAAAATAATTTAAATGCATAAGTGCAGAAATAGAAACATATTAGAAATGTAATAATAAAAAAGTACGGTAAAAACTATCAGAATATGGTAAAATTTATCGTGTTTTTAATTCATTGAAAGCACCAAAATTTTCTGTAATTTTTATCGAAGCGCTTGGGTAAAATTATCATTAAAATATGGATTTATAATATGTGATAAAAATTTGGTAATTTCTTCCCTACCTTAGAGCATGTAACTTTTCAGTTTTGCATTTTTTATTAAATGTGTCGTTACGAGACCCGTCATTTACCAGATGAACAGAAAAATTACCAAATGAATGATTTAAATATACCGTATATTTTGATCTCCTTAACCAAAATTATGTTTTTCTGTTGTTTATAATTTTATTGCAAGGAAAGGTTATTACTTTACAGTGCAGTAGTTTTACCAGATTTTTTTTCGTGTACTGTTATCATCATAAAACCATTTTTGAATAAATAAAATGAAGCGTATATAACGAAATATCAAGTTAAAAATCATTGTGAGTTATTTCGGTTCGAAATAAAACACATACCATTTAAGCATTCCAATAAAACATACAAACTTTTATAATACATTACTATTTTATTTAAATATTCCCGATATCGATTTCTTTTGCTTATTAAATATTTTCTAACAATAATGCAAATGCCTTAAAAGTACTTTGCTTAAACGAGAAAAGCTAAAAAAGTTAACTAAACATAAATGAAATAAGATAGGTATACTTCTAAAATTATAGTTATTTTTAAATGCCCATTAAAATTTCAAAATTACTAACTGAATATAATTAGTCTTATTAGCAAGTCAATATACTTAACAACGAAAATGAATATTCCTATACTAATGTAGACTAAAAATTCCATTCAGAATTGACTTCAATAATATTCTTCATTACAGTAAAGTTCTTTTTATCGTCTTTCATTTATTGCATTTTCATTCTTCGTTTTAAGGAAAGAGGAGGGCTTTTATGCCAAATAAAAAGATTTGGCTTAATCCAGTTTTATCGCTCTTTCCTCTTTGGGAAAATGCCAAAAATTCAAGAAAAAAAACGTGTTCTTATATGGAAGAATGAATGTTTAAGGAAAGAAAATATAAAGTGTTTCAATATCGAAAGGTATTAGACTTAATGGGTATTATAATATAACAATTTATATTACTTTAGGGTTTTTCGATAATGTTTTGAAGCTAATTAAGATAAATTGCATTTTTCGTTGTTTTAATATCAAAACTTACTTTAAGTTGAAAAAAAAATGCTCTAAAATTTGAAAGAAAGGATAAAGTAAACACTGAGTTTTATGGTTTACTATTTTAACTAATGTTTTAAAGCTTTTAAGTATGCATAATTAAAGGTTTTACATAATCATAATCAATTTTCATTTTTTATATTTTAATTAGTTTTTTTTTTAATCTTATTTTATTAAAAAACATATTAATGTATTCGTACAATGAAAGAAAACGTGAAACAATACTGACAGCTGTTAAATACCAACAGCGGTGAAAATGTTAAAAAAAAATGAAAACGTTTTAATGTTAAACTTTGCAAGTTCAACGGAGTAAGCGCTTTTGGTGATTATAATGGTGAATAATAATGGTGAATAATAATAATAATAATAATAATAATAATAATAATAGCAATAGTAATAAACTACTTAAACAAATGACTTTCAAAATATGTTTAGTGTTTATTACTTGTAGAATGAATATATTTAACAATAGTTGTAATAAACATTTTTCAATAGTTAATCAATAAGAACTGACATTTTATTTTAAAAATATTTATTCGCAGTGTTTTAAGTTATAACTTTATTTAATATAATAATTTTTTCCTTTCATTCTTAAATTAATATCTTGTATTTGAGTGAAAATTAATCTAGGTTCGAATACCATCTGTGACATCTGTGATTATGCCGACCAAGTGGCGGAGTGGTTAGCGTGCCTGACTGCGGAGCCGATGGTTGCGGATTCGAATCCCGCTCAGGGCATGGATGTTTCTTTCTCTCTGTGTTCTCTGTCCTTTCTCCTGTGTGTGAATGTAACCGGCCCTATAAACGGGTTTGTGGTTGTGTGACGTGGGCGACCCTGCTCCACCGCCGTGGTTTCGCCACAGGTGCCCACTGGGTAACGAGAAGAGAGTAGCAGTTCTGGCACTCCTGGCCAATGGGACAATACATCACAGGTGACCGCCGTTAAGAAAAAAAAACACTTGCGATTATTAAATCATCAGTTTGAGAAATTTATGACCCGAAAAATATTTGTTCTTAAAACAAGAATAATTTTTTAATATAATTTATTACGAGTAAATAATTATAATTATCTATTCTTAATAACTATTTTAAGTATTATTACATAAAATTGTTTTCCACCAATATCATTACATTCAATAGGTATTACCATACGTATTATAATGCATATGAAAGGTTATATGCTACATACTACATATATTTGATTCAGGTTCCAATATAATCTTCTGCATTTACAACTATTAAATAATTTTTGTATAAATTTAGACAGCAAACAAGATTTATTTATGCAAACAAGAATAATTTTTAATACTATTGATAATAAGCAAATAAAATTTTTATCAGCTATTTTTATTAATCTTTTTAACTATGATAAATAAAATTGTTTGTTACAGATGAAAATAAGGTGTTACAATATGTATCCGATGTGTAAATTATGATAATTATAATACGCGATGTAGAATAAAATTGTTTATACCATAAAAAATAGTTTAATTGATATTACTTTTACGTACCAGAAATTGTAAATATTTCAACCTATAGATTTTTAACGTTGGATTCACAAATTTATTGATCATTTATGTTCATTATAGCTCAAAACTGTTTTGGTGGAATAGAATCCTTCGAAAAAACAACTGGTACAGCATTTGGTCCATCTGTTGGAACAACAGTTCTTTTACAACAAAACGATCAGGCTCTAACGCGTGATTGTATAAATTTATGCAAACAACAGTCCCAATGCCTCTCCTTTTCTCTGGATTACGCTGGATTTAGATGCAGTTCCTACAATGTAAATTCAATCGGAAGAAGAGAAGCATTAGAAATTAGGTTAAATAACAACTTCTTCGAAAAGACATGTTTCCATGGAGGTAAATATTGTAATAAACTTACTTCTCAACTTTTGATAAATTTTAGTCAACATTCTTATTCATGTTGATCCGCAATGTGCTCCCTTTTGCGTATATTTTAGAATAATTATTTATTTATTCCACAGAAAATACGGTACGTATCCGCTTCGAAGGCTATAAAAATTAACCAATGTATTTATTTTATAACAGTCATTGAGCAGCCAACTCAATTTTGAGTTTATGATTACCAATGTCCAAATCCGTAACCTTGTAATATTGAGCCCAATCCAAAAGACAAGAGAACTCCTGGATCAAGTATTGGGAGAAATTTGCTTTCGCGGAGGACTTTTATAAGGATTTAACCCGTCTTTGAGTTGCTACAGCTGCATAATAGGCCATCGGTGATGGTCTGGGAAACATCCCTGAGGATGATCCGTAGACATGCCATCACAATTTCGATCCTCTGAAGAGGGGATTGCTCCTCCGCTTTAGTAACCCGATGACCTGCTCGCTAAGCCGAGCACTTTACCTTATAGCAGTTTAATGAGGACCGATACCGCGCACCCTTGGCCCCGCCGCATGCTGATTGCAGTGTTCACCCATCCGCTTTCTGACCGCAGCCAATGATGCTTGACTTCGGTGTTCTACTTTAAACCATGTTTTTAAGACCTGCGGAACAGCTAGGGAGTAAGAAAAAAAAACATGTGAGAACACCGGTGTTCTACCTGCGTTAGAGAGTTAAAGATATCCTTTAAGATGTTGAGCACAAGGGATCAAGGGCAAGGGATGTATCAATAACATCAGAGTTGAAGAGCTTTCTAAACGAGGACTTAACAAGTTGCTTTCAAAGCTTTCACAGCTGAATATAGAAGCCAATTACATCAAGCGTAAGTTAATTCGAATTATACTAAATGGTTGAGCAATTCATAGAATACTTTTCAGGAGCTATTAAATCAGTCCTGGAAAATAATAGCCGGTATTAACCCATTTTAGGCAAAGCATAGCAATTTTATAAAATGTGGTGTTATTTTCACTGAAGTATGATTAAATTACATTCATTGGGACGCAGGAAAAGTTTCGTGCATGAAAAAAAATATTTTATTTAAGAAATAATATGGTGCGTCTATGCACCATTGGTTGAATCAATGGACAGATCATCTAGTTAAAGACTAGTTTTTATGACATTTGTTTAATTTTTTTTTATTTACAGATCTTGCAACCTTAATCCACCATAAAAACATATGATTAATCTTTAATGCAATAAATATACGTTTTCAAGAAGTTTAAATTGTTATTAACAGTTGCAGGTTAAAAAATCTAGAATAGGTTTAAAAATTCTCCACTGAAAGTGTTTACTCCATTTGAATTACTAATATTTTCGCTAATGAAATTTTTTATCAGGTAAGATATTACCTGATAAAAAAATTTAATTCGTTTCAGAAATATATAAATAGGAAATAACAGTCAACAGTCAACAAGGGCTCAAAAACAGGCTCCCATTTTCAAGAATTGTCAGACATGAGTGCCGAATTCTACTATTCCAAAATTATTTCCACCCCAGTCACATCAGCTGATCTTAAATCTTCTTTTACTAATTTAATGCCGATTATTTTGTAAACGATATTAGTTCCTCACCCCCTCTCTATAGAACGTTCAAATGCATTCTTCCCTGATATGCCCCTCTCGGCCACCGTGGTTCTTCTTGCTCTGTTTTACATCTTTTTCTCTATGGGTTACTGCAGTTTTTCTAGTTTTGTTTTCCCCCTTCACTTTTCCATTCCTCGTTTTATTTTTTTTACATCACTTTTATTTCTCTTTCTTGACGTTTGGCAGGTCTTGAAAATGGGAGCTTATTTTTAAAGCATTTCAAACAAGTCGACTGGTATCACTTATCTATATATTTTTGATGCAAATAAAGTTTTTAATCAGGTTACATGCGTAACAGTGTTAATAAAAATATTTATTGAAATGGTGCGTTTATTCACTTCTGCCCAAAAATGGGTTAACTCAATTGCTTTGAAAAATTTTTTAAAATTCTTAATTTATGATTTTCAGTTCAGAGAAATTTATTCGAGAACCTATGTGGTGATAGACTGTGGGCCTTTGAGCGAGTAAAAGACGCTTTCTTAAATGGTTACGTTGAAAAAGAAGTTCAAAATGTTCAAACAAAGGAAGAATGCGAGAGATTATGCTTGACCGAAATTAACTTCATCTGCCGATCTGCAGACTACGATGAAGTTATGCGGCAATGCAAAATGAGTAAAGAGGACAGGAGATCTCAACCTCAGGCATTCAGAGAAGTCACTGGAAGCAATAGAGATTACTTAGAAAATCAATGTGCTGCATCTGGTAAGAGGCTTAAAATATTCTAAAATTGACTTTAACTTCTATTTACACAGTCTTTTGATTTGTTATACAGCATTTACATATTTGTAGCTTTAAATTTTGGAAATTGTATGAATTTCCAATGCTTTTCAAATACTTCTTTATAAGTAAAAAAAATAGTGTTGCACCATAATTGTCAGCCAAAAATATATGCTTCAATGTTTTTTTTTATCATGATCCAAAAAACTTTGTGTTATATTTTATTCTTTATGGTATAAACCTTTCACTAACCTTTTTGCACGTAAGGCACATTCTAATATTTGCATTGGATAACTGGCAGAGAACTATGTTAAAAAGTAAAATAATTTTATCTCAGTAGGACATCAGTGAGCATTAGTAAAACAATCGGTGGGTACCTGGATTCTCACAGGCATGAGGTTGGGTACCAATAATATGCATCCATATGCAACTGAAATATTTATAATATATGAGAATAATATTTTCCTTAAAATGAACTTATTAAAAAATTACTTTGAACGGATAAACAAATTACTTTTTATTCTTTAATTGGTTTTTAAAAATTCTAAACCTGTCAAACCTCAATACCAAGGAAGTTTGTTTCTACCTAAATATGATGTAAAGTTGAACCAGATTACCATTCAAATGAAACTTTGTTAAATGTCATCACACTATACTGACGTTAAACATATACAAAAACATTTATTTGCAACTCTTTGTTAATTTCATATATGGTGTAATTTTGCAAAATATATGCAATTTGTCTCAAGAAAATTGCACCTTGCTATGGTTCAACTTGAATGGAAGCAGTTAATGCAATAATTTATTAAAATAGCATATGGTTCAACTTTGAACGTAAAATTCGCACTATGTTATCCTCAACGGAAGCATGGTTCAACGTAACACTTTATTAGGATAATATACGGTTTGCTGAACTGTGCACTATTTATGCAACTTGGCTCATAAAATTGACTGGAAATTACGGTTCAACTTAAATGGAAATGGTGCAATGAAATTCATACATGGTGCAACTTGGCCCCATATATGCAATACTTGGTGCATAAAATGTGCACCATGTTAAGTTCAACCTAAAAGGAACATGATTCAATGTAACACTTTAGTAAACTCATATATGATTAAATTTTAAACAAGTTTTTCTGATATTGCATATTTTGCTATGAGGAAAATAATGATAGTTGGTAGTGACAACCAAACTGCGTTTTTTATGCTCAAAATAAGTAAATAAATGAAAAAAGAAGATTGAAATTTGTAAATATTTTCTCAGATAATTTTTTTTAAAAACAGTACCAAAAAGAAATGATCCAAAACTTTAAATCTTTTTCATTCAAAAGCTGAGAGTAAACTAAAAGTGCACAAAAAATATATTCATATACATGTTTTAAAATTTCTGAAGAGAAAAAATTTAAGATTTTAAGATCAGTTGTTATTGTTTTACCCTTAAATGTTGGAAACAAAGTAAAATCAAGTTTCGTTTAATTGATTTTGAAATTTTACTGAGAAATTCTTTAAAAATTAACACTATTTAAATTCTGTATTCTCTTTTATAAATGATTGATGAAAGATAAACAATACTTTGTTTCATTCATTAGTCGAGTTACTGAAATTTGTAGATAAGGTTGGTTGAATTCTTTACATAAATTTCGAAAGTTAAACTTTTACGAAATTAAATTAGATTAATTTATGCACCAGAGAGTTTGAAAGGTTGTTTAATAACAAATCAAAGTTGATTAAAACTCTAAACGCATACAAGATATTCTTTTTTGTTAAAAGTAATTTTAAAAATTAGAGGGATATAGTGTTTTGTAATTTCATCGTTAAGATAAAAAAGGAGCTTTCCCAAAACAATTACTTAAGACGACTCTCATTGCTTTTAAAATAAATTGATCCACAAAATAAAAAAATATTTAATTTCTGTCTCTATATATTTAAAAAAACCTCTTAAAACGATATCATAAAATTAAAAAGGATTAATGTATGTTTTAAAAAAAGTTTCTGTTATGTAATGGACGATATGTACGATTTTAATCATACAAAAAAAAAATCAGTTTTTTAATATTTCAGACACATTTGACATTTAAGAAATATAACAGAAATGTTATATTAATGGCGTCAGAAGAAATATTTCAGTGTTTTAAGATGCAAAGAAAATTTCTTCTGAGACATTTTAGTAGTTAAAGCGTTTTAAAATAATTGTAATAAATATACTAGTAGCATTTTAAAATATTTTCTTCTGTAATATCTGTAACTATAATTAATAAAAAAGCATATTAATAATATTTTGAAGGAAATTTGTAGGAGTTTTGAAAAACATATTTTTCATATCATAATTTTTTATTTATTAGAGTTTTTAAACTAAAGTATTTCAAGACAGAATCGATCAGTATTTTCCAATCCATGTAGTATTGTTTTCAAAGTTATTATAACAATGATAATAGTTTTGAAAAAGTTCTAAGAATGCTTGAAACTTAAAATTCGGTAACTAGGCTCAATACAATTTACTGTGATGAATAAAATAAAACAAAAAACTATTAAAAATACTAATTTATTACTTAATGAAAGAAAATTGTTTTTAAATAACTGTTTAGTTTAAAAAGTTTTAACGCTAATTTTTAACGTAAATTGTTAAAGTTTAAAGTCAAATAATTTTTCTATTAACAGAGGACTTATGAAGAAAAAAAAAACATGAACAAATTTAATTTTAGAATGCAATTACTTATTTATAGAAATGTTCGAAGCCAGGATTTAAATTTTATTGTTCGAAACATGAAATCTATTTTCAAAGACTGTTAAAAAAAGTTTAACTAAATTATTTATTTATTTATTTTTTTGTAAAAGCTTAAGAAAAAATTGTGACACACACAAATTATCTACTGTCACAGATACTGAGTTTAGCAAGATTTAATCTGTTTCAGATTTTGGCAACTTTGTCAGCCGGAATTTGAAACATATCTATTTTAAGCTGTCATAATCAATCATAATCTAATAGAAATGCATCATAAAAATGAACTGTCATGGACGTGCATAGAGAATCAAAACATTCCATTAGGTATTCAAATTCGAACAAAAATTTTACCAAAACATGAAGGAGTAAACAAAGGGGTGAATAAGGGATATGTTTTTCATCTATTGAACTTATATCATAACACTTTCCAATGCATTTTAACCCTTTTATGAATGTGCATCCATGTGTATTATGTAGTCACGTGGTGAGACATGCTTCTGACGTCATAAAGGAAATTCATATTTGCTACAATCGGAGAGAAGGACGTCGCACTCATAACACGCACGCGCAGACTTAAAAAGATACTTGTAGTGAATTACTGATTAGAAAATTTTGACCTATTTATTTTGATACCGTTTTTTTTTAAAATTATTTTTTTATGAGGGAGTGGAAAATGTTCGATTGAGTGAGATCTTTTAAATATTCTTTTCAGTTTTATTTTTAAAGATTGGTAGCGAATTTGAATTCGTTGGATTTCTTCGAATTACTTGACTTAGGTAAAATAATTTTTTATGTAATTAAAAAACTTAATAAGAAATAAATTTTATTTTATTTTCTCTCAAATTAAAATATTCTGTCAACTGTTTACGATAAAATTAGAAAATTTTAGCACTGGTCAGTGGCTAGCTACAGCATTTTTATTGGTAAATGCACACAGAGTTCATTTTCAAAGAAAAAGGTGGTAACCGCTAATTTTGCCTATAGTTAACAGCTATAAATATTTTATAGTTGATTAAAAAAATTAAGTTTGATTGAAATAAACAAGATCTTACTATATATAGAGAAACTTTATATTTTCCGACACGAAATAAACTCTCAATGGTACTTATAAATAATATCTTTATTGGAAAAAATTATCGAATATTTTTATGCATTAAAACTTTTAGCTTACTGTAGCAGATTAGAGGGGGAAATGATTTCCATATGAATGGTATCACTTTTACCCTTGTTATAAAGCCTTCCTGATAATCCATGATTAGTAGCAGAAAACAGAAATCATTTGAATGATCTGCAACTCCATTAAATTTATCTGCTGAGCGTGTGGTATAATATTTGTGTTCAAATTGCTCTTTCTAGATTTGCAAAAATTTAAAAGGCAAGAGGGTCTAATGCAATATTTAAATAAAATTTGAATTATGATCTACACTTTTAGAAATTTCTAGTATAAAGTGGTTAATTAAAAATTTATTTAATTTTTATTTTACCGAATTCAACCAAAACAGTCAAATAACCATGAATAAGATGGTATTCAAACTGTTAATTGGGAGAAAAACCGTTTATTAACTGTTTTCATCTAATACGGTTAAACAGTCATTCTTATGAAGTCAGAATTTTATCGCACAACTTGACCCACCTAATAAAGTCACTTAGTACCCACCTCATAAAGCCACCTTGCTGGTGGGTACACATTATAGCCAAAAAAACTAATCTGTCATTCTTATGGCCCGTAAAACGGGGGTTTGGATCCCAACGTTGACACCCCAATATTTCCTCTCCCTTCAACACACAAAGAATTTCCAGTGTTTTGCTCACACTGTGACCCTGGGTTGTTTGAATACGATACACTCATTTGCGCATAGATGGCAGCACTATAAGGATTCTAAACTATCATCAATGTCCAGTTAAATGTTTTTTTTAACGGTTTTGAAACCATGCTAGTTTTAAATGGTTAAAATCTGTACACTTTTTTATTTATGGTTTTTTAATCAAACTAGTTTTAAACGACTTCAAAACCGTAAAAATAAGAAGTTTTTTAATCGTAAAGTTTACCTTTAATTGTATAAACGGACTATTGATAGTTATTTTACCATAATTTTAGAATGAAAACTCTAACAGTGTATATAGGGTGTTTTGTTTCTGAACTGCCAGCACATATTTTCAAAATAAAGCGTGGCATGAGACAAGAGGGTAGTGGAGTATGGGGAAGCGCGTAATATTGTAACAAAGGAGTGTCAAAAATATGGGTAAAAAAATTTACAGCTTT